ATTACACGCATGAACAGGGCACTACAAATTCTCTTATGCTTCCAAAATCTGATTTAGCAGTTGAAGAAGCCTGATCTCCATTAAACAAATAAAACTTTTATCAGAAACGGAGCATCTATATCTAAATCCGCTATTAGTCCTTTGATACTGAAGTTATATGAAGTGATTTGATCTTTGCTCCTGGACTTTTAATAGATTAAAGAAAACCTATTTTAATCCTCCAGTCCAAATTGTTATATTGCATTTCACCTTTCTTCAAAATATTTCCATTTTTCCTTTGATAGAACTATGATATTCAAAACTTTGTATAATCCTTTTGATTAAATTCCAAAGAAGACAGTGGCCATATTTTCTGAATTACAGGAATAGGAAGAGCACAGAGAAGATTGGGTTCCTCCTCAAATTAAAGTGTGATATTATATAGGATGCCATGATACATTTTAATACTTTTATGAATGACCTGACCTGGATTAAGAGGAATGCTTATTAAATCTACAGATTCTACAATCAAAGCTGAATAGGTAGTCTTGGAAGAGAAAAAGTCAGTATAAAAATGATTTCTTCTTACAAAAGATGTGATAAAACAAAACAAAATAGAATTGTACACTTCCCCATGCTATTACTAGAATGTATGTACCTTCAAAGGCACCCCACGCCTTTTTAGCAATTCTCATCTGAACTGTAGTATATTTCATTCAACAGTTATTTCCAATTTTCTGCATAAGTTTTGAGCACTGAATGGTTGCTATGGGAAGGAAATGATAGGAAACTGTGTTCTTGTCAGCAATGTTGCATAGATAGAGGAGTGATGATGGATGGATGGATGGATGGATGGATGGATGGATGGATGGAAAAATAGACGGATCTATAATTTTTTTTCAGACAGAAACATATAGAGGTAATCTCTATGTAACTGTTTGGTAACTCTGTATTTTTTTTAAATATTAGCAGACAAAATTAATTTTCCCAGTAAGACCACAAGCAATATAGATTTGAGCATGCATTATTTTTCAGTGCTCACAACCACCAGAGGTATATCAAGGAAACAAATCATTTTATGATAGCTATAGGCAATAAGTTACATAATCATGCATGTAATGCTGATACTTATTTCATGCAAACAAAGCAGAATAACTTGATAAAAAATACATAGAAATTAAACTGATGCATGCAAAACAACATGGATCATTCATGTTTACAAATACATATTGATACTTGTTTTTTTCATATATTTCTGAGTAACCTAAAAAATATCAATTAGTCCCAACCATAGTATTTTTTCACAAATCCGATGTAAATTTAGCTGAGATTAATTAATTACAGCCAGATTTATCTGATAATTCTATTCCATAATGATAAATGTATAGGTTCAAATACAGTTAGGAAGCAATCCAACTTATATAAAAAAAATTCAGCTAATCCTAACAAGAGGAATATTAAAGAGCACTGAGTGGTCTCTACTCCAAATTCTATTTGGCTTCAATCCCATGGGATTCAGAAATAGATTTCATTATGCATCTTTAATATATAAGAACTCAAATCTTTTTTTGTTTTGGGGAAAGGAAAGCAATGCAATTATGATTTTCAAGCTACTACAGCTTGAAAAAAAATCAATGCAGGTGAAATCTCATTGTCTTCATCAAAACCTTATCAAAGCCTTATCTCTTTTCCTTTAATATTGAACATGCCTCCCAATCTGTTCTAAAAAATTTCTGATGCTCCAGAACTGGTGGAGGGAGTGGCAAGAGTATTATGCCACTCACTTTATTCCCCCCACAGAAATGTGCCCAGTTCTACAGAATCACAAGATGTTGTCTGTACCCTATCCAATCTCAATGCTAATTGAAAATATTCAGAAATTGCAGTATTTAAAGCCTTACATATTTCTAAATAAGAACTGTACTCTAAAAGTCATATGGAAACAGATCTGAAAATACCAAAAAGTCTGTCTTCCTAAATCACTTACTTTGTACTTTGAAAAACTACGAAGCCTAGTTGTGTCCCAACTTTGAGACATGACATTTTTCAATGATTAATAATTTACCTGCAAGTTAAGAGTTAATATTCTAGCTTCAGTTTCTGTCAAGCACTATTTTTAAAGCTTATTTTTTTAATAAGCTTTTGAAGCCAAGCTTTCTTTAGAATACATTTCCACACCTGTCGGCAGGCAACCCACAAATGTTATTTGCAGTGGGATAAAAAAAGAGATTGAACATTTGTTAGAAATTCTTACTTCTTGAAACAATTCCTGTAATAATTTTAGATAATTCTTATATGGAAACTCTGTGTGCAGTGTTCTCAGTCAACAAGTTTCCAAACTGCCTATAAAACGTGGACCCCAAAATAGTATAATACAGGTATTTATTAAATAGGTTTATATAACCATCCATCTATCAGTGGAACTTTGGGCAGCAAATGAAGGTTGAATTTGCAACATCTACAATTGTTGAACATCTACAATTTGCAAGTCTACAACAATGTATGAGAATGCATGGAGGGTTTTCAAGCTGAAAAATTTCCATATGAACAGTCAGAATTCTGGTCTGCTCCATTCATACTTTTTGCATGAATACAAACAAGTTACCAATCTGAAATTCTTTACTATTGTTAAAGACTATGTTTGGGATTATCAGCATATAAAACAGAATCTGCTAATTTAGGAAGAAATCAGGATGGAATGTTGCTGTAACTATACTCAACCTGTGGGAAAATATGTACAGCAGTGCAAACCTATATATTTTGAATACAGTACTATACAATTCAGCAGACTTTACCTCCAAGTAACAGCATAGAGATTAAAGCCATTCCATGCATATAGAGGTAAGCTTGGTAACCAGAAATAAACTCTTTTGAATTAAATAGACCTTGTTCCCATATATTTAAATAAAAATTGCAACAAAATGCCATAGAAAGTCAACTGTGATCCAGTCCAGGAAAGCATGAATTATTCAAAGCCACTCTATCCAATGCAGTTTTTTAAAAATCCATAGTAATGCTAATTAATCTACCATTGCAACAAAATATAATTCAATGTAGCAGAGTGCAAAACAAAATTCAGCAAAAAAATGAGCAAACAGATAAAACCATTTTTTTTAAAAAAAAATAATCTAATAAAGAAGGCTTTTAAAAAACATGTCTTGCTGGATATGCTTAAGACTTAAATCATAAACCACAGAGGAAGATTCCTGAACATTGTAACTGGAGCTATTCATCTGAAAACTATACAAACTGTTAACAAACTGCAATGAATGAAAAAAATACTAAACTACTGAAGCAAATATGTTATTGGTGATTCCTGTCCAAAGCTGGCAAAAACACAAAACAAAGTTAATTTACTCTCAGGTTGCCTTGTTGACAAGTGTTAGCAAGTCTGTTTTTTTCAAACCTTCCCAACTGTATTCAACAAAATAAAGTCACAGTTCATGAAAAGGATTTTTTTAATCAACAGCAGAAAACATGTGACCCCTAGTGCTCAATCAAGCTAAAGCCAAAAGAGAGATTCTGCCTGTAAACTAGCATTAAAAAATGAATTCATGCAGAGCAACGTTTTCCTCCTGTATAACTCATGCTAGCAAAATGTGGTATATAAGGAAATGAGAATTTTTAAAAAAAGTTTTTTATAAAATATATTTGATAATGCAATCTTGTTATTTATCATAAATATTAAAAATACATCCACGAGGGAACTATTATTCCCTTATAAATCACTTCTAAAGTTTTAAAATAAAGCAAGCACTTCTTATGCATAGATGATGCTATGGGCTAAGGACAGTTCTCACTTCTAATTCCTGATAAGATAAAAACACTTGAAGAGAGAATTTTCCCATTCTGTTCTAGGTGAGCTTAAATTCTAGGTGAGCTTAAACTGACAATGCAACAAGAGATGATCAAGGTTCTTCGTGTTGTTACATGTTCCTCTGTACATTACGGTTTCAAGTTAACTAAGTTTCCCTACACTCCAGCCATTATTTACAAGAATAAGGATAATGTACCCTGTAAAAGCGCAGAGTACCATTTCAAATTCATAACCTTCTGGACTTCATTATTTACAACAGGGTAGCACTTCAGCCCCCTGTTGGGGTTGGAGCTACCCCAGGGTAGCTCCAATGATAAAAGTCCCCCAAATCTTATGCCTTCAATTAAATAGAATTAGTTGCACTCTACCATACATTTGATTAAAAGTATCGCTGCATGGGGTTACTCTGGGGGCTTCCTTGGGATTTACTACAAAGGCATTTAGTGACAAAATGCCATTGTACTTTAACAATTGACATCTGCCCACGATATCTGGGCATTCTTATATGACTCATTCTACTCTGCCTATATACTCTGCCTCTGTACCTTCAAGACAATATAAAGCTTTGGTGAATCTCGTTTTTGCAGGTATTTATTCTTACATAATGAAGTGAGGACAAGGGGTGGAGGGGGAAGAGATGAAAGCAAGAGCTGATACTGTAATGCTGCATTCAGATGCTGCTTCCAAGAACCACTCTTGCAGTCTTTTCCTTCTTGCTGAACGGAATTAGGTAGCCTTCATTTTCCCTTGGCAATATTAAAAAGGGAGCTTCGGAAGCCAAAGAAGAGGCGGGGGGGGTGGGGGGCAGAACTCAAAACGATTCGCTCGTTTCAAGGCATAACGCATCCGCAGGTCCTCCCGAAAATTAAGATCAGGCTGAAGGAAAAGATGCAGCGGAGAGAAAACTTGAGCTCCTTTAATTTAAAGACCTAGCTTTAAAGATACGGGTTTGCCCTGTACGTGCCGGTCGCATAAGGTCGGGAGGGAAAACGTTTCGCAGTCTGCCTCCCATTCTGAACTCTAGGGACTGCGGTGGCAGCCTCCAAATAGGGCAAATTAATTAATTAATTAGAACAAACAGTAAATGCCCCCCTCCCTCCCCCAAAAAACTTTACTTTCAAAGTTTATGGGGGGGGGAGAGAAGGTGATAAAACGTACTATCCGCCTCACCCTGGATTTCCCACCCTCGATCCATGCAACTCACCCAGAAGAAGCCCCGTAAGGTGCTCACTCCCGCAGGACGCAAAATGCAACCCGGGTTCGGACAGCGTCCCCCACTAGGGGTCGCCCCTTCGGAAAAAGTTTGCCTTCTCAGCCCTTCTCCGCCTGCCCTTCTGCTCCTTTCCCGCCGCCCACCTGCTCTCCTCCGGCTGGGCTCGGCTGGGTCTTCGTTGCTTTCCCTACTACGCAAAGGGCAGTTTATAATCCTGGCGGCTCTTCCTTGCGGCGTCCGCCGTCTCTTCTGGAGCCCTCAAGCAGCGCAGCGCTGGCAGATTAACAAGGGGACGGGAGGGAAGGCGAGCGGGGGCGGAGACGGGAGTGCGCGGAGCCAGCTCCTCCAAAACCCGCGAGCGAGCGGACGAGCGCGCGGGCGAGGAAGCACCTGCTTTCGCGCCGCGCCGGAATTTCTCTCCCACGTTCGCGCGCCCGCCTTCCCTGATGCACCTCGCGCAGCTCCGGCTTTCTTGACGCGCGCCGCCCGTCTAGCTCGGCTTCTTCTCTTTTCGCGCCGTCTTGCGGGCGGCGCCGCCCCTCAGCGTGCCTTGCCTCCCCCCCACCCACCCCCTCCACAAGGTGGTGTCACTTGTCACGAAGAAAATTTGGCAGAGGAGGAGGAAGCGCGCTACGCGCGTGTGGGTGTAGGTAACACAACTCCAGTCCGTGGCGTTTGTGGGTAGGGGGAGGCAAGGCGCGCGTTCTTCTTTCCCTCTGAAGAGACTAGCCCGGCAGTTCTTCCACGGGCCTTTCTCAATCGGCTGAATCTTTGTAGTTACTTAAATAAGTGCTAGGCATTCTGCATCCTAGCCTTTCTCCACGTAGGCACCTTGCCTTTCTATGCTCTTGCCTTTCTGTGTGGAATACACATACATTCTGCACGCACCAGTAAGTTTAAGAAGCCAAGATGACGTCAAAATAATATCACGTACATCATTGTACAACTGATATGACGGTTTGGTGATTAACGTGCCTCTATTTGCCTCCCCTTTCCCCACCCATGAACCCTGCGCAAACAAGTAATAACCTGTCACGCAATCCCTTTTCAGGACAAACCAGGTTGTGCGTTCTCATTTTTTTCAGCGTTTTCTTACCTATGAGATTTTTAAATCAGTCTACCAAAATACCTTTTTTAATATTTCCTATCAGCCAAACTACACGTTCTTCATGACACTAAAATATTTCTTCATTTAATTGGAAGCAACTGTCACATCTTATTTTCTTACATTAATTTCTCATTCATTCCAATGGAATATTATTATCTACCGATATATTTTTCCATACAACAATTGTATTCTTCTGCAAATATTGTAGCTTCACACTTACTTTTTTTTATGTCTTCCATACCTCTTTATTATTCTTCACACTACAAAAAAACGTACCTCATATACAGGTTCTCCATCCTTATATCTTTCTTCCAATCGTTTTATATTCATTTGCCACATGCCCATATGAAAGTACTTACCGTACTTCTTTTAAAAATGCTGGTGTTAGACTTGTTTCAAAGCAGTTATTAAACAGTCACTGTTCTTCATCCTTGGTTATCTGAATGGCCCAACTAGCTGCATTATCTTACCTGGTTTGCAATCATCTATTCATATCATCTACCACAATAATATTTTGCCCCAGATCACATTTAAAATATTGCATATTTTCCCCACATAGTCAGTCTGGTTCTTTTGTGATTATTACTTGCATGCATATTGCCAACATATGGATTCCTTCTTTCATAAACAAAAACATAACCATCTATATAGGAGCAGCTGATGCTCTTTAAAATAAATTTAGTCCTTTCACTTACAATTGAATGTACACCTTCACTTCCCTGAATGTACACCTTCACTTCTCTGAATGTCTTCCTATGCTCCAACCCACAAGAACAGATTCAGAATAACAGGTATTTACCCCATTCAGATATATGAAAGCTTTCTCCATTCTATTAGTTTCACAATCACAACAGCGTATCTATTTCTCTTTCATTGAAATAAAGGGTGGCGCAATGGCTCAGCAGTTAAAGATGCTGAGTTTATGAGTTGGAAAGTTGACAGCCCTTGTTCAGCACCCCAGCATCGCACAACAGGGTGAATTATTCCCATTATTTGCTCCAGCTCCTGCTAACCTAGCAGTTAAAAACCATGCAAATGTGAGTAGATAAATAGGTACCACTTTGGAAGGAAGGTTAGTGTGTTCCATTTTTCCATGCAGGCGACATGATGATGGAAGTGTCTCTCAGAAAACACAGGCTCTCTAGGCTGAGATAAGAGATGAGCACTGCCCCCTTGAGTAGATCATGACTGGACAGGGAAAACTTTTAAAATGGAATAAAAGAATTAAAACCCAAAACTGAAGGAGAGAACATCCACTTAATTTCATACAACTAACTCGCAGGCTCCTCATCTCAAGGTTGATGGGAAAACCATGTTTTAAGGGCTTTCTGGAAGACTAACAACTTCAAGGGTAATGAAGTTCCAGAAAATAGAAGCCACATCAAAAAAGGCACATCATCTGGATCCCACCAGATGAAGTTCTTTTGGTGGTGAGACCCAGATAAAGCTCTTTTGATGGGAATTGTAGCATAACCAGAGGTGGGTTTCACATTTTACCACCAGTTCACCACGCACCAAACATGTGAGTGTGCACTTTGCTCATGCATGCGGCTTGCACGCATGTGCACGGCTTAGAAAATGTGGCTAAATAGGACAGAATAGCGCCGGGGTGGGTGGCCGGGCTCACCAGCAGGTTACCACTACCGGTTCACCTGAACCAGTCCGAATCGGCTGAATACCACAACTGAACATAATTTTCAGCATAGCCACTTGACCTGGTGGGATGTGTAAAGATAATTGGGAAAAGGCATCCCTTAAATAGCCTGGTCCCATCTATGAAGGGTCAAAAACAATACTCCATATTGCACACAGAATTATTAGAACTTTTTCTCAGATATGTAATTAAAAAATAATAATGCACAGAATTCAGGCTATAAGGATTTAAAAAGTAGCAATTAGCAATTGTTTAAAAGTTGTAATTAAAATCAAGGGGAGTTAGATTTACAAAGAGAACCATCTTGGTGTAGTGGTTAAGGCATCAGGCTAGAAACCAAGACACTTTTTGTTCTAGTCCTACCTTAGGTACAAAGCACACTTGGTGACCTTAGGCCAGTCAGTCTCTTTCAGCCCTGGAAATAAGACACTTCCAAAAAGAAACCCTTAAAGAAACTGCAATGATGGGACTTCCGGTTGACGTCGTAGCACCCTCAGACACAGTGAACGGGTCTCCGCGTTCACTGTGCTGACTTCTCCCTGTTTGTGGGCTCTGAGAGGAACCAAAGCTGCCCTGTAGGGGCGGTGAAGCAAAATGGGGCACCCTGTGAGGTCGAGGCGAGTTGCAGCTCTCCGGTTTGATCCGGGTTTTCTTTTCCCTCTCAGTCAGAGCAAGAAGAAGAGGCAGCTAAAGATGGCTGCTACAAAGCTGGGACAATCAATGAACATCTAAGACTGGTGCTGGAGCTAAGTAGGTGAACAGTGACTGGAACTGGGGGAGAGGATTTCCTTTTGTTTTAAATTCAACCCCAAGGAACAATTTAGAACTATTTGCTCAGAATTATCTATTAAAGCAATGTCAGAGCATTCTGATAAACTACCAGTGAGGGATGTAGAAGAAAAAAATAACAAACTTTGAAATGTACAGAAAATTTGACTCTCAATTTGGGGAGAGGTACTGGGAAGGCATTTTAAAATGCTGGAATCATTTACTTACAAAACTTATTCTGCTTTTATAATTGTCCTACAACTAAAATGGCAATACTGAAATTTAAGCTGAGAGTGCTACTTCCTGATGAAAGGAAAAACTACATGAAGGACTGTTAAAATATCTATTGGAATACTTTTAACTACCCTTTGATACTGGAGATCCAAATATGAAAATAAGTTTTCTTAACTAAAGGGACCTCTGAATGTTATGCTAGAAGATTGAACCTGTAAAGGGGATGTAAAGAGATTTTTGATAACTTTTGGGATTATCTAAATGGAACTGACTATTTATCTATGGGATGTAAACATCTGACACTAGTGCACTCCCTGAAGGGCAACTTAAGGACTGAATAAGTGAATAGGTGACATGATTAGAAGTTAGGTAGGATAGAAAGATAGTTTTTTTTAGTAAAAAGTGATAGAATTAAAAGTTAGAATAAGTGATAGAAATAAGAGAAGGGGGAATGTTAGTATATACTCTCTTATATAATAAAACAAAAGTAACAAAAAGAGAAACATGGAATAATTGAATAATGACAGACTGCAACTTATAATTGTGTATCATTAGAAATATATAAGTTGATTGAATCTAATAATTATGATTAATTTTACTAGTTTTATTTATATTAGAATGTTGGACACCCAGGTGCCACACTGTTCACGCATTGATTTGATACTTTTGTAAAAAAATAAAAAAAAACTTTTTTAAAAAAAAGAAACTGCAGTGACTACTGCAGACAATCTCCAAAAGTCAACACTGACTTGAAGGTCACACCAACACATATAGATGACAAAAATTAGATTTTGCAAATGGAATGAAGACAACATTTACACCACTGAGCTGTTTTTCAGGCAAAAGCTCCCAAATGCCAGAGAACAGTGGTCTTGAATTTTCAACAAAAATTCAGTCATAAAGCAATCTGGCCAGTGTGCTTTCATTTGAAGAATAAGATCAAAAAGTTTGGAGCAGGCATCAGTCTACATGGAACAATGAAGAAAATGTGAAATGTCTTCAAGACTGCCATCCCAGCATGGGCAAAGTCCCTTGGAATAAAGAATTTCTTATAATGTTCTCAGAAATAGCAGAGGACATATATTGCATCCGGAGTTTTGTTAAGGGTAATAGCAAAGAGGGAATAGTGATATATTTTAAGTATTGCTCACATTCCACCCTGCTTTTTATTAATGCATACCAAGGGGCTACTTTGTTATCTCCAATTGCACTTAGATCAACTTGTATAGAAATATCTGTTACCCTTTTCTTTAAGGGCTGGAGAGTTATTGAATTGCTCTCATGAGTCAAAATCTCTACTGAGTGGCCGTCCACACGTGCAGAAATATCCTCTTAGTATTGTAAAGGATATATCATAGAAGTAAACGTCATTTGTTCAATCAGATGGGTTATGAAAATCTAGAAGAGATTTGAATTTGACCAAGTATTTAAAAATTCTGAGAGTGATAGATGTTCTGATAGACTGAATGCCTGTCTTTGCTCAAAGAAAGTGTGGGAATACCTTTTTGACTTTTGTCAAGATGGACCTTAAGAAATTGTTTTGAAATTTTCAAATTAAACGCTGGAGAAATAAGAAATGGGGCAAGCTTTATTTTAATATAACATAGTGCTGATAGAATTAAGTAACCACCAGCAGAATATTTCCATTTAAACAATTATTGAATTGCGAAACTACCTTATTTTGGGTATGTGGTGATGAGTCAGCCAGTTGCCTGATAATGTAAATAAGGGACAGA